CCTGGGGGTGGTAGGAAGGAAAGTTGAAATATACCTATTTTTTCAGGAATATTCCTAAGGGACATATACAGGGTCCTTAGCCTGTGGCTGGCCCATTATTACCTAGAGGTGAATACTCTCTTATCCCACCATTCCTCTGAAGGGGTGGACGGGAGGGAGGGCTTAACATCTAGATCATGTGGCGTTGGCCGTGCGTAAAACTTGTCAAGCATCTTGCCCAGAACAGGATACGCAGGGTTCATGAAATGCAAGATGAGGAAGGACACGTCCGCTACACAGGGATCCCAGTAACACCCTGCAGGTCGGCTGACCCCAAGCATCAGGTGTGACCGCTTTTTTTGTGAGGTCCATCTCAAGCACATCCTTCTTCATGCGGCTGCGCCAAGTCTCAGATACTGGAGATTATCACAGGTAAATATAGTGATTATTACCTTGGAATCTTTTGAACAGGTTAACTTCTTGCCCCGATAGTGTAAGGTTTAAATATGATCATTATTTTATCAGTGATCTTGTATTTGTACTGCGTGTTCTGCGGCACATGATTGTCAATGATTAGATGGGAAGATAGTTCAGGTGGTTCAGTTGAGGTTGGCACAATGTTTGAATTGGAACCCGGCAGTTGCCTGACTGTCCGCCTGCCTCTCTTCCCTTCACTTCCCTTCTCGCACACACTCCCACAATATCACTAACAAATTATAAGAAGCCATCACGCAGTCGTCATCACAGCCACGAAGATCATGAGACAGTAATACAGTCTGCGGGTCGCGATACCATCGAGGGTCTGAGTAATAAAATATAGCTCCATTCCCCCCAAAAAAGGAGGCTTAGAACCACTGTTTTTAAAAGTATTATGACTGGATTTGTTGGAAACGTTGGAATGACCAACATCATGCAGAGTTTTACGATACGGTAAAACAAACATTAATCAAGGCATACTTCTACAGCAAGATTGGTCGTGGAGGTCGCTTAGCACCGTGTCTTGTGGCACTCTTTTCAATGATGACAAACCCAACCCGCTCATATTTTGCACGTACCTAACATCAGTTACTTTGAAATATCTGTTGAGGCTAGCCGCAAGCATCTGGCTCCAACCTCGGACATACAATTTTATACTAATATATATATATATTTATTTCCCTGAATGCTCTGTGTTCCCTTCTCTGAGGATGTGGGTCCCTATAATTGCACCAGAGGTGGTACCCCCTATATTATATATATATATATATATATATATATATATATATATATATATATATATATATATATATATATATATATATATATATTATTAAATATGACCGAAAAAGTAAGATTAATAATTCTAACACGAAAGAATTATTATTTAACATTATTAACATTCTAATTCTAACATTCTACAATTATTGCTAATAATTCCAATTATATAATTTCTAATAATAACAATTATTGCTAATTAATAATTCATTACTAATTCTAACATTATTAACATTCTAACATTATTTAATTCTAATAATCTTACGAAGTAAGATTATTAATCTTACTTTTTCGGTCATATTTAATAATATATGTCTACAGGAAAGACTCAATCTTTCGTACATTATGCTTCACTTCCATTTGAGTGAGGTGGGAAGGGTGATGTGGCATTAAAATATACTGGTCCATATTTCTTGATGCTTCTATATATAGTGCCTCGCAAACGTCAAGCCGCCTGCTATCGCTGTATCTATATATATATATGGGAAGAGATTATATAATGGAGCCCTGTTGTTTATGCATATAGAAAGAGATGTTGTTGTCTTGCCTATATATATATATATATATATATATATATATATATATATATACAGATATGTCGTACCTAGTAGCCAGAACGCACTTCTCAGCCTACTATGCAAAGCCCGATTTGCCTAATAAGCCTAAGTTTTCATGAATTAATGTTTTTTCGATCTCTTCCCTACCTAACCTAACCTATCCTAACATTCTCGGCTACCTAACCTAACCTAACATATCAAGAAAAGATAGGTTAGGTTAGGTAGGGTTGGTTAGGTTCGGTCATATATCAACGTTAATTTTAACTCCAATACGAAAAAAAAATTGACATCATACATAATGAAATGGGTAGCTTTATCATTTCATAAGAAAAAAATTAGAGAAAATATATTAATTCAGGAAAACTTGGCTTATTAGGCAAATCGGGCCTTGCATAGTAGGCTGAGAAGTGCGTTCTGGCTACTAGGTACGACATACATATATATATATATATATATATATATATATATATATATATATATATATATATATATATATATATATATATATATATATATATATATGGTTCATTGTGTAAAGGTTTTTGACAGTAACTGGTGGTGGTGTGTGACAAAGGCCACACTTGTGGTTGATGCGTGGTTGACTTGAGAGTGACTGGTAACGTCATTATCGTACCACCTCGAGTGGCCATGTGGGAGGCTGCAGCCATCTCCTCCAGTACTTCCTCTCATGACAAATTTCGACCTTATTGGCGCTCCACCTCACTGTTCACGGCCATGTACCACCTCACCTCTCACTGCTCACCGCCTTTCTCAGCAGTACACCTGGCTGAGCCTGGCGTCACACTGTGGACTGTGGCGGCGTCACACTGCATGGCGTCACATTGTCAGCAGATAAGGAAGCCCGCATGACTTCACCCGTGTCCAAGATTACAGCCCAAACACTGCAAGGTGAGACACCGAGGCATGATAGTGACATGGGCGAGCCCCCTGCATTACAGTCATTGTGAAACTCTGCGTGCCGCAAGATAAATCTGCGTGACGCAGCTTGAGGGAACACTCTAAGGGTTGAGCGAGGGTTGGGAGCCGGTCGGCCGAGCGGACAGCACGCTGGACTTGTGATCCTGTGGTCCTGGGTTCGATCCCAGGCGCCGGCGAGAAACAATGGGCAGAGTTTCTTTTACCCTATGCCCCTGTTACCTAGCAGTAAAATAGGTACCTGGGTGTTAGTCAGCTGTCACGGGCTGCTTCCTTGGGGTGGAGGCCTGGTCGAAGACCGGGCCGCGGGGACACTAAAATCGCCGAAATCATCTCAAGATAACCTCAAGATAAGAAGATAACACTTTTATATATCACGCATCGTCCTCCACACTTAAGGCTACTATAATGGGAGACGTTCCCAATGACTTAAGAAACAAGATTACCGTGGGAGACGCTCCCAGATACACTGGAGGAACTGCCATGGGAGACGTACCCACAGTGACTTAATTAACGACAATTCCATCAGAGCGACAGTGTCCCCCCCCCAGCTCTCTCCAGCACACACGCACGCACACACACACACACACACACACACACACACACACACACACACACACACACACACACACACACACACACACACACACACACACACACACACACACACACACACACACTGACAAATGTAATTGATATACCAGTAACTCTTGAGTTCTTAATAACTATTTATTACTTCTTCCTTTGATCATATCCCTTCCAAGTGCTATATAGTCGTGATGGCTTGGCGATTCCTCCTAGTAATTACCTTACCTTTATTTTTTTGACGATAATTACTTCATTTTTGTTTGAATTAAACTGTTGATAGAAATTATTCATTCTTTATATATATATCCGGCACAGCCACACACGTTGTCGTAGACATGTTTACAAGTGATGATCAAGCCTGAATGCTGCTGAAGTCTGCCTGTCACGGGGGGGAAAGTGAGGAAATATGGCCCCGCCCTCTGGTGGCGCCGACTCAAAAGCTTTAGTTACGGTTTACGAATCTATAGCTCTTCAAAGCATCCAGTTTAGTCCACAACGTCTCGCTGTATACCTGTACAAGTCGCAGGTGAGACTGCCAGTATATTATTACATAGAAATAATTCAGCTAACATTCGTCACATTACCTTTAAAGAAAGGGGGAGGACCGATACTGTGTGATCCAGGATCATAATGTTGTTCCCTGACTACTGAGGCCACAGTAGGAGAGAGTGCTGTGGGGGGGGGGGGGGGAAGGATATTCCCAGCAGTCCGCCATGATGTTGCACGTGTTGAGTGCAGATGATATCAATCTCGTGCATGTTCATTTCGTCAGGTGTGGTCAGGTGCGCTGCCTCCTTCACCACACACAGGTACGCTGCCCCCTTCTTCACCATACACAGGTACACTGCCCCCTCTACCATACACAGGTACACTGCCCCTCCTTCACCACACGCAGGTACACTCCCCCTTCACCACACACAGGTACTCTGCCCCTCCTTCACCACACACAGGTACACTCCCCCTTCACAACACACAGGTACTCTGCCCCTCCTTCACCACACACAGGTACACTCCCCACTTCACCACACAGGTACACTGCCCCTCCTTCACCACACACAGGTACACTGCCCCTCCTTCACCACACACAGGTACGCTGCCCCTCCTTCACCACACACACAGGTACACTCCCCTTTTCACCACACACAGGTACACCGCTCGGTGGGAGGCGGGTCTTTACGGGGCAAAAACCCCTCATGGCGCCACGCCCCAGAGCACAAAGGTAGCCTGCCAGGAGATGAATGAGGCGAGTGATGTGTGTGTGAGTTATGAGGTGTTTACATAAAGTCTCGCTACCCTCGCGGGGAGTACATCTGGACGGTTGCGTGAGCAGCTTACGTCTTAAAAGACGGAACTTGGGCGAAGCTCTCGCACGCGCGTGAGGCGTCTCTTGTGAGCAGACTGATGGCGAGTGAGGACCTCTAGTGCTCTCCCTCACCCTCCCCTCGCACGGCATGTGCATCCATCCTCTTCTTACAAGCACGCCACATCTCAAAATGCCACAAAAGAGGTCCGCATGAATACTGAACTTGCCAGGCACCGTCACGGTCACCAGGCTACTTACCAGGCACCGTCAAGGTCACCAGGCTACTTACCAGGCACCGTCAAGGTCACCAGGGTACTTACCAGGCACCGTCAAGGTCACCAGGGTACTTACCAGGCACCGTCAAGGTCACCAGGGTTACTTACCAGGCACCTGCCGGCCACACACAGACGCTTGGAGTCGAGGACACCGCACGGCGTTCCGTCAATCACTGTTTGGTTGAGAGTTGCGTAGAAACTGAGGCCCACAGCGCGGCAGTTGAGAGCGCAAGAGTCTGGTGCTGTAGGACAGAGAGCAGGGATGATAGTGGTGAGAGGAGGGGTGACGGATATGATGTACAGTATAATAACAGAGATGACTGTGAAAGTAACTGCACTCCTCCATTCCCGCCCCCCCCCCTCTCCAAGAGAGTGAAGAAAGAGGGGGTGAGGGGTCTGAGAGGAAGGGAAGGAGAGGGGGGAGGGGAGGGCACACAGTCATACAACAAACGAACACAGAGATGAAGTAGTGAGTATGAAAGATGAGTCATAACAGGAACCAAATGAGTGTTATACTTGTCAGTGAAAGTGTACCACACAAATGGAGCATTAAAGGTGTAACACACACACACACACACACACACACACACACACACACACACACACACACACACACACACACACACACACAGGTGTAGAGAGAGCTCCGGGTGTACTTACTGTCGTAGTAGGGCTCCCAGGTGTAGAAGCGACGGTTGAAGGGCGTCTTGTTGAAGGAAGCGCACTGCTCCCTCCGGAAGTCAGAGTACCCCGGCCCGCACTCCTGTAGGATCAACACCACCTTAGTGATCGCTACACGCACTCTGCCACCCTCACAACACACTCTGCCACCCCTCACAAGACACTGCAACACTCCAGCAGAACACACACCGCCCAACATTCATGTGTTGTGCTCAGTCCTCGTCCACAAGAACCCCACAAGGCCGACCCTCAAGTGTGCAAGAGTCAGGAGCCGCCAGTGTGGGCGATACCATTAAAGATGGTTATAGTTCGTTAGCCTAGCGAAGATGACACCTGGTGGTCACCACCAGGAGTCATCAAGCATTTGCACAACCACTCACGAAACCTGTACATCTTTCCCCTAATCATAACAGCTTTTGGTTACATATTTTCAACGGTTTCGAAATGTCACAATTCAAGGTTATTACTGACATAACCTCGCAGAGCTTCGGAACTCATAAACCGTTTAATACATGTAAACAAAGCGGCCATGATTGAGGAGAGATATACAGGTTTCGTAAGTGGTTGATGACTCTTGGCTCGGGTCTCTTGTGTGTTAGACCAGACTCAGACGAGTCACACGCCGCCAGCATCTCGCGCCTATTTACTCACCAGGGACGAGGAATCCAGTGAGTAGCGCGGGACTCATCGTCCTCACTACCTTATGGTATAAACCTTAACATCGCAAGACTCCCACCCTGAGTCGCTTCACCAGAGCAAAGGTTGCTCTTGTGGGTTGTCCTCCACCAGTACTAACACGTACCTGCTGCTGCTACGCCTCCCTGCACTAGTATTAGACAGTACCTGGGTGTTGCAGAGCTCCCCCCCTCCCCTCCCTGGTACAGTACCTGGGTGTTGCAGAGCTCCCCTCCCCTCCCTGGTGCAGTACCTGGGTGTTGCAGAGCTCCCCTCCCCTCCCAGGAGCAGTACCTGGGTGTTGCAGAGCTCCCCCCCTCCCTGGTACAGTACCTGGGTGTTGCAGAGCTCCCCTCCCCACCCCGGCACAGTACCTGGGTGTTGCAGAGCTCCCCCCCTCCCCTCCCTGGTACAGTACCTGGGTGTTGCAGAGCTCCCCTCCCCTCCCTGGTGCAGTACCTGGGTGTTGCAGAGCTCCCCCCCTCCCTGGTGCAGTACCTGGGTGTTGCAGAGCTCCCCTCCCCTCCCAGGAGCAGTACCTGGGTGTTGCAGAGCTCCCCTCCCCTCCCTGGTACAGTACCTGGGTGTTGCAGAGCTCCCCCCATCCCCTCCCTGGTACAGTACCTGGGTGTTGCAGAGCTCCCCCCCTCCCTGGTGCAGTACCTGGGTGTTGCAGAGCTCCCCTCCCCTCCCTGGTACAGTACCTGGGTGTTGCAGAGCTCCCCCCCCTCCCCTCCCTGGTACAGTACCTGGGTGTTGCAGAGCTCCCCCCCCTCCCCTCCCTGGTACAGTACCTGGGTGTTGCAGAGCTCCCCTCCCCTCCCTGGTGCAGTACCTGGGTGTTGCAGAGCTCCCCTCCCCTCCCTGGTACAGTACCTGGGTGTTGCAGAGCTCCCCCCCCTCCCTGGTACAGTACCTGGGTGTTGCAGAGCTCCCCTCCCCTCCCTGGTACAGTACCTGGGTGTTGCAGAGCTCCCCCCCCTCCCTGGTGCAGTACCTGGGTGTTGCAGAGCTCCCCTCCCCTCCCTGGTACAGTACCTGGGTGTTGCAGAGCTCCCCCCCCTCCCTGGTGCAGTACCTGGGTGTTGCAGAGCTCCCCTCCCCTCCCTGGTACAGTACCTGGGTGTTGCAGAGCTCCCCCTCCCCTCCCTGGTGCAGTACCTGGGTGTTGCAGAGCTCCCCCCCCCCTCCCCTCCCTGGTACAGTACCTGGGTGTTGCAGAGCTCCCCTCCCCTCCCCTCCCTGGTGCAGTACCTGGGTGTTGCAGAGCTCCCCCCCCCTCCCTGGTGCAGTACCTGGGTGTTGCAGAGCTCCCCCTCCCCTCCCTGGTGCAGTACCTGGGTGTTGCAGAGCTCCCCCTCCCCTCCCTGGTACAGTACCTGGGTGTTGCAGAGCTCCCCCCCCCTCCCCTCCCTGGTACAGTACCTGGGTGTTGCAGAGCTCCCCTCCCCTCCCTGGTGCAGTACCTGGGTGTTGCAGAGCTCCCCCCCCCTCCCCTCCCTGGTACAGTACCTGGGTGTTGCAGAGCTCCCCCCCCTCCCCTCCCTGGTACAGTACCTGGGTGTTGCAGAGCTCCCCTCCCCTCCCTGGTACAGTACCTGGATGTTGCAGAGCTCCCCCCCCTCCCCTCCCTGGTACAGTACCTGGGTGTTGCAGAGCTCCCCTCCCCTCCCTGGTACAGTACCTGGGTGTTGCAGAGCTCCCCCTCCCCTCCCTGGTGCAGTACCTGGGTGTTGCAGAGCTCCCCCTCCCCTCCCTGGTACAGTACCTGGGTGTTGCAGAGCTCCCCCCCCCTCCCCTCCCTGGTACAGTACCTGGGTGTTGCAGAGCTCCCCTCCCCTCCCTGGTGCAGTACCTGGGTGTTGCAGAGCTCCCCCCCCTCCCCTCCCTGGTACAGTACCTGGGTGTTGCAGAGCTCCCCCCCTCCCCTCCCTGGTACAGTACCTGGGTGTTGCAGAGCTCCCCTCCCCTCCCTGGTACAGTACCTGGATGTTGCAGAGCTCCCCCCCCTCCCCTCCCTGGTACAGTACCTGGGTGTTGCAGAGCTCCCCTCCCCTCCCTGGTACAGTACCTGGATGTTGCAGAGCTCCCCCCCCCTCCCCTCCCTGGTACAGTACCTGGGTGTTGCAGAGCTCCCCTCCCCTCCCTGGTACAGTACCTGGATGTTGCAGAGCTCCCCCCCTCCCTGGTACAGTACCTGGGTGTTGCAGAGCTCCCCTCCCCTCCCTGGTACAGTACCTGGATGTTGCAGAGCTCCCCCCCCCTCCCCTCCCTGGTACAGTACCTGGGTGTTGCAGAGCTCCCCCCTCCCCTCCCTGGTACAGTACCTGGGTGTTGCAGAGCTCCCCTCCCCTCCCTGGTACAGTACCTGGGTGTTGCAGAGCTCCCCCTCCCCTCCCTGGTGCAGTACCTGGGTGTTGCAGAGCTCCCCCTCCCCTCCCTGGTACAGTACCTGGGTGTTGCAGAGCTCCCCCCCCTCCCCTCCCTGGTACAGTACCTGGGTGTTGCAGAGCTCCCCTCCCCTCCCTGGTGCAGTACCTGGGTGTTGCAGAGCTCCCCCCCCTCCCCTCCCTGGTACAGTACCTGGGTGTTGCAGAGCTCCCCCCCTCCCCTCCCTGGTACAGTACCTGGGTGTTGCAGAGCTCCCCTCCCCTCCCTGGTACAGTACCTGGATGTTGCAGAGCTCCCCCCCCCTCCCCTCCCTGGTACAGTACCTGGGTGTTGCAGAGCTCCCCTCCCCTCCCTGGTACAGTACCTGGATGTTGCAGAGCTCCCCCCCCCTCCCCTCCCTGGTACAGTACCTGGGTGTTGCAGAGCTCCCCTCCCCTCCCTGGTACAGTACCTGGATGTTGCAGAGCTCCCCCCCTCCCTGGTACAGTACCTGGGTGTTGCAGAGCTCCCCTCCCCTCCCTGGTACAGTACCTGGATGTTGCAGAGCTCCCCCCCCCTCCCCTCCCTGGTACAGTACCTGGGTGTTGCAGAGCTCCCCCTCCCCTCCCTGGTACAGTACCTGGGTGTTGCAGAGCTCCCCTCCCCTCCCTGGTACAGTACCTGGGTGTTGCAGAGCTCCCCTCCCCTCCCTGGTGCAGTACCTGGGTGTTGCAGAGCTCCCCTCCCCTCCCTGGTACAGTACCTGGGTGTTGCAGAGCTCCCCTCCCCTCCCTGGTACAGTACCTGGGTGTTGCAGAGCTCCCCCCTCCCCTCCCTGGTACAGTACCTGGGTGTTGCAGAGCTCCCCTCCCCTCCCTGGTGCAGTACCTGGGTGTTGCAGAGCTCCCCCCTCCCCTCCCTGGTACAGTACCTGGGTGTTGCAGAGCTCCCCCCCCCCTCCCTGGTGCAGTACCTGGGTGTTGCAGAGCTCCCCTCCCCTCCCTGGTACAGTACCTGGGTGTTGCAGAGCTGGAAGCGCTTGTAGAGTCCCACACAGCGGCTGCCGCCCGGGTCGCCAGCAGCTGTCCGTCGTCTGCTCCGAACACGTCGCCTGAAACGACACACAACATATTAAGTCTGATGATCACGCCCAGACTTTCTAGTTGAAATAAAGATGCGTGGTGATGGGGAGCAACGGGTGTATATAAGGGGGGGAAACTGGGACACGTTTTGTGAGAGGGAAGATAATGGGGAAGGGAAAGGGGAGCTGTAGGTGAGGGGAGGTGGAGAGGAGGGGCGGGAAGGGAGTATTTCCGTTTCATTTCCTGTAATTTATGTAATACCACTAGATCAAAAATTATCTTGTAATATTTATTAAATATAATTATCTTTGTTTTTTTGGGGGGTGATAATATGTCAGCTGCCTTTTAGAGAAGTTACCCCTTGTCTTCCCAGGTGGTGGTTCAGCCTGAGGTAGTTAGTGTACAGGCGATGACTCACAATAACGTGGCTAAAGTTGACCAGACCACACACTAGAAGGTGAAGGGACGACGACGTTTCGGTCCGTCCTGGACCATTCTTAATCGACTTGAGAATGGTCCAGGACGGACCGAAACGTCGTCGTACCTTCACCTTCTAGTGTGTGGTCTAGTCAACGTAGTGTACAGTCTTCAGACTCGTCTTGAGAGTTGCATCTTGCACTAACACTGATCTTGAAACATGACCGGCCACGTGGCTAACGTGTATTATACGCGTTATAGGTCTCCCTACCAACCCTTCAGCTATTCCACCCATTCTCAGGTGTGCTTTATATACGAATGTCATTTTCTCACGACATATAATATACTGCCCTTTACACCACCTCCTCGGTGTCCGGGTTAACTGTAGGAGTCTAGTGTAGAACTATTTCAAATGCTTTATGACAACCCCGAAGATGCAATCTACCCAGCCGTCTCTTATTGCTGTCACCTTATCATGGAACTACATTAAGTTCGTCAGACAAACTTCCCTGATCCATATTTAGAGCCAAAGTTGTCACCTTCTGGGGGGTCTGTGAGGGCCTGGTGCTCTGCTCGGCCGCTGTGAAGTACTTAATGCCAGCATGTCTGGCCTGTAACTTAACGGCTTCTGACTATCTCACCTCTCATATATAGGTTCACCAGTGGCAGTCATATGTCTGTTTGACGGCTCCTCTTTCTCTAGTGACTTGCAGTAGCCTCCCCCCCCCCCCCGTGTGTGTGTGTATGTGTGTGTGTGTGTGTGTGTGTGTGTGTGTGTGTGTGTGTGTGTGTGTGTGTGTGTGTGTGTGTGTGTGTGTGTGTGTGTGTGTGTGTGTGTGTGTGTGTGTACTCGGCCACGTTTCTCTGCTGAGGATCTCTAAGTCTGAAATAAATTTGTTATAAATTACATATTAGTTTAAGGTATCCCACCGAGTCTAAGAGAGTTCTACACACGCCAGCATGGTGTTCAGTCTAGTAGGCCCCTGGGTCATCAGTACAGCAGGGAGGCAGCAACAGTCTAGTGGGCCCCCTCCTCAATTAAATAGATGATGTTTTGACGTGGATATGACACATTACTTATGTTACATGGGTAGACTCTGAATTACCTTGCCTGAAGATAGACATGTCAATTGCAGATGAAATATACCTATATAAATAATTGTGGCACCCCGGTTAGGGTGAATAATGATTCACCTGCGGTCCCTGAGGCACTCGACTCACCTGGGGTCCACGAGACTCACCTGGGGTCCACGAGAGACTCGACTCACCTGGGGGTCCACGAGAGACTCACCTGGGGTCCACGAGACTCACTTGGGGTCCACGAGACTCACTTGGGGTCCACGAGACTCACCTGGGGTCCACGAAACTCACCTGGGGTCCACGAGAGACTCACCTGGGGTCCATGAGGCACTCCCTAGACTGGAGTGAGACGCCCCCACCACAAGACCGTGAGCAGGGTGACCAACCAGACCATTTGCTCCAGCGGCCACCCCGGGCGTTGCCTTGCTTCTGTAGTCGCTCCACCACCATGCGGTGAACCTGCAACACACCAACACAGTAGTCACTCCTCTGCAGTCTTGTCGAGACCACACATATATAGTTACAATGTTACATGTGATTATACAATGGTATTGTGGTACAATCTTGCGTCCCTCCATAAACTTAACTCCTGTCCTAATTTTATTAAAGAAGGTTATCTTGAGATCTTGAGATGATTTCGGGGCTTTAGTATCCCCGCGGCCCGGTCCTCGACCAGGCCTCCAAGGTAGTCAGTGAAACTAAATAACTTCCTCTTCACCTAACCCATTAAAGATGAGAAACTTGCTAGGAAAGCCCCATGTGAAAAACAGTTTGACAAGTGTTAGATACTGCTTCTGGGATGGATAGAACACGCTCCTAGCGGGTGCTGCTCCTCATCCTGGGGATTTTTTATTTGCTATTCATAACACTGCCCTGAGAACTAGACTTTACAGGAGGGCTCTTCACAGTGGTATAACCTCACTACCACTATGTTTATCAGTGCCCAGGTCTCTCTTCTCCCTCCTCACTAAATCTCAACTTCCCTATTTTCTCTAACCTTTGCTCCATCTCCCCGCTACCTTCCCTTCTCTTTTTTACCGTTATCCTCCATCTATTCCCTCTCCCCCCTCCCTCACCTTCCTCTCTCCTCTCAGAACATGTAATCTACGTTCCCCAACAAACAACATAACCACAAAATTGTAACAACGTTGTGGTAATGTTGTGTGTCAACAGCTGAAAACTCTCTGAAACATCAAACCCCATTTTTCAGACTTCATAAAAGTCGTCGGGAGTCGCAATAGGGGTCGATCCTATTAAAGGAGGGCATGGGGCGACCCCCGGACCTCCAGGTGTTACAGCCACCTAGCTACCACCCCATGTGTCATCCACAACAGTTAGGTGAGTCTAGCCCCCCAATTCTATCTTATAGATATAGGTGTGTGTGGTGAACTGTAATGGTGCTTTCAATTTTATTAAAAAATATTCAACATTTCAACGCATACAGCCAAGTATATTTATATTCATTTAACTTTTCAAGCAATGTGTTATGAACATTCTCGTATGGCTTATGGTTTTTTTGTCCCTGGAAATATTTTCATGTTACGAACTGTTATTATATTTTCTGCTGGTTTTAGTTAATTTGTTTATTCACAGCCCTACTAGCTGCGCCACTCCAGAGGGCCCAGATTCACGAAGCAGTTACGCAAGCACTTACGAACCTTACGAAAGGATTGTTAATTCTTAACGCGAGACAATGAAAGGAGTGACAATGATACAGGCTCGTGAAGTGTGATACGAGGAGGCCCACAGCTTTTAAGCAAATAAAGAATACGATTATCTTAAATATCATCTTTATCAAACTATCTTGAGATGATTTCGGGGCTTTAGTGTCCCCGCGGCCCGGTCCTCGACCAGGCCTCCACCCCCAGGAAGCAGCCCGTGACAGCTGACTAACACCCAGGTACCTATTTCACTGCTAGGTAACAGGAGCATAGGGTGAAAGAAACTCTGCCCATTGTTTCTCGCCGGCGCCTGGGATCGAATCCAGGACCACAGGATCACAAGTCCCGCGTGCTGTCCGCTCGGCCGACCGGCTCCCTATACTAGCAACAAACCAGCAACAAATGTAAATACAGAATAGTTTGTCTTTTATTCCTACGCTAGAAGTGTAGGTGTGAAGTGAAGTGTGAAGCTACGCTACTCTACGGTCTACAGAAAAGCTTCGCGAGTCACGTTTAACTGTACACACACAGAGATCACACTAACGTCATAAATCAAATGAACAAATCCACAGGGGCCGTGACGGGGATTCGAACCTGCGTCCAGGAGCATCCCAGACACTGCCTTAATCGACTGAGTTACGACAGGGTTAAAAGGGTTGAAACCGAAGTTCTACTGAACTTACTGGATCCCACGGAGAGGCTACGGGATCCAGTAAGTTCAGTAGAACTTCGGTTTCAACCCTTTTAAACCTGTCGTAGCTCAGTCGATTAAGGCAGTGTCTGGGATGCTCCTGGACGCAGGTTCGAATCCCCGTCGCGGCCCTTGTGGATTTGTACGTTTTACTGTACTCTGATTCCTTGGAGGACACAAGACCTGATGTACAGGAATTGGGAGAAGGATGGAGAGGAAGAGAGAGAGGGAGAGGAAGAGAGGGAAGGACAACGGTAGAAAGGGGAAGAAACGATATGTATGGGGGGAAAGAGAGAGGAATGGAAAGGGGGAAAAGGAAAGAGAAGGGGCGGAAAAGTAGCGGGGATAGAAGGATAGAGAAAATGAATAGTGAAGAAGCAGTACAATGTGAGTGGGACGCAGGTCATGAGTAAAGTGTACATTAAACTCATCATTCATGCATTATTCACACCTGAGTAAGCTCCTACTCATCCACCATTACACGAGGAGAAATGTAAAGAGCTGCCTCTAAGTTAATTAACAAAGAACCAACACAACTCTTTTGTCAGAACATACAAAGCTTATTGAACAGCCGCTGTACGTGTACAGGCTCCCCCCCTGTGTGTGTGTGTGTGTGTGTGTGTGTGTGTGTGTGTGTGTGTGTGTGTGTGTGTGTGTGTGTGTGTGTGTGTGTGTGTGTGTGTGTACTCGCCTATTTGTGCTTGCGGGGGTTGAGCTTTGGCTCTTTGGTCCCGTCTCTCAACTGTCAATCAACTGGTGTACAGATTCCTGAGCCTACTGGGCTCTGTCATATCTACATTTGAAACTGTGTATGGAGTCAGCCTCCACCACATGTGTGTGTGTGTGTGTGTGTGTGTGTGTGTGTGTGTGTGTGTCACCGGTTACCCAGAGGCTCTAATTATAACTACTATTGTAACTATGTATATAGAGTCAGCAACAACTAATTCCTCAATTCAGGTAATTTCAATTGCTCACTTCCCATGCACTGAAGGAGTGTTTTCTCACATGTTTATGACTTGAGTTAAGGTTCCACCTTCCAACCTCACGCTAAACTGTGTTGTTCACGTTGTCAGTGTCTCTAGGGATCTTACATATCGCAATCATGTCACTTGCTTTTCCTTACCAACGTGAAGTCTAGTTCTCTCAACACCCGCAAGCATCGGGTGTTGCTAGCAGGAGTGAGGAACCTCGCACTAGTATCACATTTCCTCAGAGGAGAATTTCAGGACACAAAAAAATAGAGCAAGGGAGTCGTTGCCTCCGTGTTATAATGGCATATGAGCCCGTAGCCATTAACGTTTATTATTCCATTAGAAGCCAATTATAACCTGAGCCTTAGTGGATCCAGCTAGATTTACTCTATGAAATTAGCCTGGAAGCTCCAACTATTCTCAAAATGGAGTTAATATTTTGTATGAAAAAACACAAATAAGTTATTTCGGGAAAGTTTGAAAGTATGTTTCAATGGCTGTGTGAGGCTGTTAGTCGACCATTAGGCTGTTAGTCGCCCATTAGGCTGTTAGTCGACCATTAGGCTGTTAGTCGACCATTAGGCTGTTAGTCGCCCATTAGGCTGGGGCCAGATTCACAAAAGCACTTACGAACCTGTACATCTTTTCTGAATCTTTGGCGGCTTTGATTCCAATGATTAAACAGTTAATTAGGCCCCGAAGCACCAGGAGGCTGTTTATAACAATAACAACAGTTGAATGGGTAGTTTTCATGCTTGTAAACTGTATAATATATGTAACCAAAGCCGTCAAAGATTGAGGAAAGATGTACACGTACGTAAGTGCTTGCGAAAGTACTTTCGTGAATCTGGTCCCTGGTTACTACCTCACGGCTGGTTCCACCTATTACTTACACGGATAAAATGTAATTTTCTCGAGTCATTACTGATTAACATTATATATAAAGTATTATCATCATACTCATTTTAAACCTTCTAATACGAGGTTTTTAATTAATTGTAATTAGTTTTAGTTTATTTAGAAAATTAGGGATAGAAATGCATTTTACAACACGCTGCTGTTGTAAAAATATAATTTCACCTTTCATGAAAACTATTGCGAATACAGTTGTTGTATTATAATGTATACTGTATTTGGGCTGTTGCACGCTGCAACTGGACTTGTTGAGTTACTTGCAACACTATGGGACGTTCCTTCACCTGGCTACTACAGGACACCATTGTGGCATTACCCTGTCACTCGCAAGATGTTTGGGTGCGGGTGTGTTGCCCCCCAGTCAGGATAACTCTTGCCCCCCCAGTCAGGATAACTGTTGCCCCCCCAGTCAGGATAACTCTTGTCCCCCCCAGTCAAGATAACTCTTGCCCCCAGTCAAGATAACTCTTGTCCCCCCCAGTCAAGATAACTCTTGCCCCCAGTCAAGATAACTTTGCGTGTTTAAGTCGACACGAAAGGTAAACCTATGCGACTCTGGGAAAGGGAACTACGTGTTACCTGTTCTCGCATCAGTAAAGCTAAGTGGGACCAAACATTTATTGATGTATAGAGAAGCTGTAGTAATAAAATATGGAGCCAAAATTCTATTTCATAAAAAAAAAACAGTTTCAGGTGGCACTCAAGGAGTGAGACATCCAAGCGTGTGCAAGTAGCGTCTTAAAGCAATAGAAGAACGTTAAATTATCATTAGGGTGAACCACTCTAGAACACAAGCAGCTGAGGCTTGTTAAGGAGTCGCGACCTACAAGCCAGCCCCAAGTGCCTGACGTCATCGCTAGAGGATTGTCAAAACAGCTGCAACTCGTCACATGTACAGATTCCACATATTTTGTGGATTAGGGGAATATAACCGCTGGATTTGTCAATCCGTACGAGCACAGTCATAGCGTTACTCACCGCTCGTGTCACCCACGCTTGTCACCCACGCCCATTACTCACAGCAGTCATCCACACTCTTCACCCACTCCTAGTAAAAACGGCCTACACCGAATCTGCAAAGTACATTCACCACTCTCATCCACCGTCTCCCAGAACCACTCTCCCTCGACCCTGACCACTCACACATGCACGCACGCACACGCACGCGCACACACACACACACACACACACACACACACACACACACACACACACACACAC